TATTAGTCTATTAAATAGATTAGTATTATTAAACCCTTAGTTACATCTATAACTCTTTTCTATTAAGAATCGCTAGGCAACTCTCACGGCGCTAATCCCAAACCTACTCGCTCTAACCCGGATCGAGCTAGAGAAGTATTAGCACTCTAGACCCCGTGTAACAAGTATATGTTTATACTAAGTATTCAATACTTCTAAACCTTTGTATGATGGTTAAAAGACACAACCAAGATATTATTCTGCCACGGAAAGAATATACTTAGCTAGTGCGCTAAGAGTTTGACTTCATATCACTAAGTCGGTCGTATGCTTTCTGACCTGTCCTATTATGAACCATCTCAATCCACATTACTCTTGAGACATGCGCCTGAACGTATTTCCATTCAAGTCCAGTCACAGCAGTTTTCAATGCATCTCGTATCCAGGTGTCGTGTGCCCCAGCTACTGTGATTGAAGCGGTGAGCAAAACCCAAAGAAGTAAACTCTTGTCTTGTCTGATTTCGCTCCCTCCGGTAACGTACATTATTCGCAGCTGCTGAACCACCCAGGCATACGGTATCCTCCGTCCTGGGAGCTGGAATGTGGTAGTCAACATGGCCAACATGGTCAGACGAATCAGTTCCTCGACTGGCTGCGTAACAACACCCCCAAGGCATATGAGACGTGTTTGGAGGGAAGTAAGATCGGCTCGGCAAACCTCGGGGTTATCCAAAACAAACTTGAGGCGGTTGCGATTAATCATCAATGTGAGGTTCTGAAAGTCTTTGAAGACGTTCACGATACGATAATCCCAGGCTGCCCATGGTTGGTAAAGATCTGGAGGTAGAGTCGGGTATGGACATCGTATGCGACAGTCCCATGACTTTAGAGGCTGCATAAAGTAAGGTTTTCGGCCAGAGGCGAGAGACCATGCAAGATCAATCCGATCGAGCTTGAAATGCAGGGTTGGTCTCTCTGCCAGGAATGCCGCGTCTCCCCTAAGCTGCACGATCCCACGCAAGCCCTTAAGGTGTGTGGCTGCTGTAACCCAGTCTCCAAACCCGATAGCCAATAGTGTGAGGTTTATGATGACCCGTAAGACGGCTTCATCTTGGTGTGCGAACGATTTCTGCATTTTGACGCGTAGCAATGACAGGGTTGCCTGAAGATGGAATGTCGTCTTGACGCCCGGACTGCCCTTAGACTGGGGAGACTTGAAGTCTTTGATGGCGTAGCTCGCACACAGCATGGAATGCAGAAAAGTAGTGTCGGTGAAAAGCCAGGAGAAACACACCGATTCAAGGCAGTCGAGATTGGTACAGCGTTCCAGAGGTGTAACGTCATTGGCGAGAAAGTTAAATGCGAATGCATCAGCAAGAAGCATCTCTGCCTCGGGATCAATTCCGCGCGCAGTAAAGCGGGTTGGAATTAGATCCTTGACCACAGGCTTTGGCGAGAAGGTATTCGAATGACCGGGTGCTCTACTTGACGAAGCACTTCGTAACATCTCATTCGCGATCTTTCTTTTTTCTCGCTGCGTTCTCCTTGAGCCTTCGCGCTTATTCCTACCAAGCATACATCGGCTCCTGATCTGTAGGCTTTTTCCGGGCTTCGGGTTCGACACAGGGTCGGAAATGATAAAGTCGAATTGTACATGTTGTGATGTCATGTCGAGGTGTTCGTGCTGTGGTCCAAATTGCTATCCGTTTCCGACCCAGGGCGCTCTTTTAGTTCGAACCTAAGGCCAAGGTTGATGCGCCTGACGGTAATTAATACATTTGTGGACGCCTAAGATGGCTTGGCGATGTAACACGGACAAGATAACGCCTCACGGTTGGGTGAGCGGTGACGCGAGTAAGATGAGGCGTATGGATTCTCTACCCTGCAGGGGACAACTTGGCAGCAAAGAAACGCCCACATTGCTGTCCATTTCAGGAAGCTGCCAAGCCTCGCTTAGCCTTGTGCACCTCAAGTATGAGTGGCAATAGCATAATCTGTGTTGCTAGTGTTTTTGTGGACTATGTATAGTATTGCGCCTCGGAAATAATAACAAGGCGGGGTCGTGCACAATAGGGATGACATGTAGCTCGAACATGAATTGCTACTTAGCTATTCAACACCGCGCGCTGACAACGTCGAGATGCCACTTTGTTATCTCCAAGGAGCACCCGATCTTACGTGGGGCGATGATTCTAACTACTTGAGGCTGTACAGCCACGGAGAATGATTGCTGAGTGTTGCAAGATGGCGGGCCTGGAGAAGAAAATATCACAGTACTTAAGTTAAGAGATGCATTGGAAGAAGGCCATTATCGAAGATCGGCTTTTGAGTACTTCATTCAAACTTTTCCATCATCCTGTATCTTTTTCTTTCCGCTAGAGTGTAAAAACTCCAATCTTTAGCTTCGCGTCGACAATGATTTTGACATGGTATTCTATCACTGCTTTTGCAGCTTGTGCGATTGCCGTAAACACGGATAGTGTCGAGTACGATTACGTGATAATCGGTTCAGGGCCTGGCGGAGGATCTCTCGCGTAGGTCGCTAAGCTTGTTCAGGACATTCTACTGCATCATTCGTACTAACCAATTATAAAGTGCCAATCTAGCGACAAGCGGATACTCTGTGTTCCTCATCGAAGCGGGAGGCGACGGCACAAACGCATATGTTGAGGAAATTCCATCTCTGTAGGTTTGGATTCCGAGTCCTCTCACCTTGCTGATAATTATCAAAGGAACTCGGTTGCTGCTGAAGCTGCTCCTCACTCATGGAGCTTCTTCGTCGAGCATTTTGCGAACGAGACTCAGGCCCGACGTGATCCAAAGTACGCGTATCGAAGGAGCAATGGATCGTACTACTCAGGTCTCGAACCTCCCCCAGATTCAACTCCGTATGTATACCTCCTCGCCCAGGAATTTTCTGCATGTGTGGCTGACGCGCCTTAAAATTGTAGTATGGGTATTCTCTACCCTCGAGGTGCTACACTTGGCGGTAGCTCGCAAGTCAATGCGATGAACTTCGCATGGGCACCCGATAACGAGTGGGATTACATCGCCAATCTCACTGGAGACGAGACTTGGGGACATGAGTATATGCGGAAGCATCTAATCAAGCTTGAGAACTGTACATATGTTCCGCGCGGTACTCCTGGACATGGCTTCGATGGCCCTATTGTGGTAAGTCCCGTGTCGCCCAGACTGGTAAATGCCGCTGACGTGTAGCAAAACATTTAGTCCAGTATGATGAATCCATTGATAACAACTGGAATCACATCAGAGAATGTGGCTCGCTTTGTGTCATCCATAATTCGCGAGACTGAAGGTATCGAACCGGAAAATGTTGAGCACTTGGCCGAATTGCTTGTCCGTGATATCAACAAAATCGATGCAGACCGTTACGCAAGTAACCTAACATTCTTGCTCCCACTAGCCATAGATCCTACTAGTGGAAGCAGGAGTAGTATTGGGAAACATATTAACAACATAGTCGAAGCAGGATACCCCTTGACGATTAGTCTCCATTCACTGGCATCAAGAGTTCTTTTCGAGGACTGTGATGGGAACCCAAAAGCTTCTGGTGTGGAGTACATGGTTGGAGAAGGATTGTACTCCGCGGACTACAGATACAATGCATCGCAGCAAGTGAATGATGTTAGGACCGTTCGCGCCAGGAAGGAGGTTATTGTATCAGGAGGCACTTTCAACACTCCTCAGATCCTGAAACTTAGCGGCATTGGGCCGCGCGAGGAATTGGAGGAGTACGGAATACCAGTCGTTGTCGACTTACCGGCGGTGGTACGTCATGCATGCACGTCAGGCTTATGTTAACTCGGCTCACGGTCCTACAGGGCAACTTCATGCAAGACAATTACGAAACGCCTGTGCACATAAGAGCCGAAGTTCCGTGGCAAGAGGCTGCGAACCCCTCTTGCACCAGGACCTTCAACGAGTCAGATCCATGCTTCGTTGCATGGAGCACAAACGGAACTGGTCCTTATTCGTTGTCCGGCGGTACTTTCTTCCTAACTTGGCGAAGCAGCCTTAGCTGGGACGATGACGCAGATCTCTTCTTCCTTAGCGCAGCTGGCTGGGGTGATTCTGGTTTCTATCCCGGCTTTTCTCAAAGACAGCCAATCCCCGATATGTGGGGAAGTTCATTAGTAAAGATGCAGACTGCCAACCCTTCCGGCACGGTGCGTCTTCAGTCCAAAGATCCGCGACAAGCCCCAAAGATCAACTTCAACTTCTTTGCCGAGAATGCCGAAACGGATTTGCAATCTCTGGCTGAGGGCGTCAATCTTCTATTGCGTGCACACAACAATATTGGAGTGCCATACACGGTTGTTTCGCCAAACCCAGAAGTTGAAATGCATCAAGCCCTCATGGATGAAGCGTTCAGTCACCACGCTTCGAGCAGTTGTCGTATGGGCCCAGCCGGAGATCGTACATCTTGCGTCGATTCAAAATTCCGAGTACATGGTGTTGAGAATCTTCGTGTAGTTGACGCATCTATATTTCCACGTGTGCCGGGCGCTATGCCAAATGGGCCAACTTTCACAATCTCTCGTAAAGCTTACGAGACTATCTTGGAGGATTGTTAGAAGACATATACTAAAGTTCATTCGAAGTATCCTCAGCGTTCAAATAGTACATCCAGGGCGTTAAATATAGAAAATATGATGGGTCGTATTATTTAGTATGATTTGTATGATATTATGAAAATGCGACTTCAAAGAAGTTGCAATTGGAACTTAAACTGTTTTCATACAAAGTCTCATCCCAAGCCTTTACTCTTCCCAGAGCAGCTCTATGGTTTTACTCTTAACTTTATTGTATGGTCAATAGTATTGGAGATTTGATGAAGACGGAATTGATTGCTGGTTTGTGATGAGTTGAGACGACCAGGATCTAGCTCAGAATATTGTATAGAAACATCCAATCTCTTAAGTATTGAATAACTCCCTAGATCTCGCAGGAGCAGTTACAATTGCTCTTGAATAGCCCACACCCAGCCCCATCAATAGATGAGCTGATGCTGCCCTTGCACCTATGACCTGCCGCTTCAGCCTTGCATGCGGCATTGCATCGGCCACTCCAGTTGGTAAGACATCCACCACTTGCATTCCATCTAGGGATTGCTCTAGCCTCGAGTGATTTGGCTTACTAGTATTATTTACTTTATAAGATAGTTATATGTTAGTCTATNGAATAGATTAGCGTTGTCAAACCCCGGTTACATCTATAACTCTGTTCCACTACGAATCGCCAGACAACCTCACGGAACACTAGCGTAAAGCTCACCGGCCTTAGTGTGGGACCCGGCAAGAGAAGTATAGTTCCAAACCCCGTGTAACACCACGTTATACTTTAAATACATAACTTATTTTACTACTAACTAGACTACTCTACTAAACGAGCTACTTTAAAACCCTACTTAAATTAAGAAATTATAAGAGTTTTTATCTCTATTAGCGTGGTAAATAGTGGGTAG